ACCATAGGGGGCTTGATTGTTATTCAAACAGATTCTCCTAAGAAATAAAATTCTTGGAATTTGCTCAGACTCATGCCAAAGCATATTGTTCAAAATCAGATTAAATTTACCTTACTCTTATCTCCGAGGAAAGTGATAGATTGGATGCTTAACACATAATGCTAATATAGAAATATGTCAGGAGCCAGACAATCTCCCTATTCTTTTAGGAGTAATTCCATAGAATTTAATCAGAGTTTATAGATCAGATGAGTTTTCATTTGCATATGCTTCCTCTGTACCATCAATGAAACCTGCAGTTTACTTAAGCAAAAAGTATATCAGTTTCTACTTCCTTCATTTGGACAATTCTAGACGTACACAAAAATTACACGGTAGCTTTTGTTGCTGAACACTTGAATTGCTTAGGAATAGGTATTTGCAATTTGTTTTACCTTCATGCTTGTCTTAAAAAGCCATTCTCTTAAAAATGTTTTTTAAAAGTCCTTGAGTCCTTCCTGACTGGTAATGAATTCAGAAGAAATGATGTCATGGTTTTCTCATAATGATTCCACGTGTTAGGATGAGCTTCAAACCCAGGACATTTTCGGCAAAAGTCTTTAAGAATCACTTAGCTAAATCCCCTCATCTTAGGGAAACTGAGGCCCAGTGACACCTAGTGGGTGGCTCATCTAAGCAACAAGATACTCTGGTGCCAGGATAGAGCTCCTTAGTCTCATCTTCCAAGGTGGGAGTCCCTGACACCTTACACTTTAACGTACATACACATCTCTTAGGCATCTTGTTAAAATGCAAATTCTTATTCCGTGGTTCTAGACCGGGGCCTAAGATTCGGCATTTCTGCTAACAAGACCCCAGGAGATGCTGGTGCTGTTGGTACATGGATCATAGTTTGAAAAATAATAAGACGTTACACTAAGAAAATTTATGTGAGTGAAGGTCAACAATAGCAAAATGATAGTTCTGGTTCAGCTGATAATTTTTTTTTAAATGCATACCTTAAGAACTAGTGTTACTGCACCAAATATTCTGTATCATTTTATCCCATAATGCTAGTTTCCTAGGAAACATCATTTTAGAAGTTCATACTAATTAGAAAATTGATTGGGTAAGATATTTGATCCCCTTCACCTAGTTGTCCTGTGCCCTCTAATCTCAAAACTGTCATCTAAGATGCATAAATGACGATTTTCTAATAAAATGCATACTTTTTCTTTTTTTTTTTTTAATATTTTTATTGGGGAATTGGGGGGATGGGAACAGCGCTGGGAAATTGGGGGAAGGGGAACAGACAAGTTGCTGTCTTTTTGTTCTTCAGTCTAGTTGTGGAGGATGTTGCTTCATTGGCCCAAGTTGGCACCATCATTGCGCTCTTCCCGGCAAGTCAGATCAGTCTCTGGCTTCTGGTCGGCCGCTCACTGCGGCTGCTGGCCACTCACACTGGCTGCTGGCTACACACGGCAGCCCATGGCAACCCACTGCAGCAGGGGCCACAGCCTATGCCGTTGCTGGTGACTCCCGGCAGCCCAGCTCCAGGTTGAGCTGTTGTTCAGCATCTTAGCTGTGGAGGGCAGTGTCACTGGCCCTCATATGTGGGATCCGAACCAGGGCCCTCTGGCGTCCCAAGCCAGCTTTTAACCAATGCGCCACTTGGCCGGCCCCCAAGCCAGTTCTTAACCAACGCACCACTGGGCCGGCCCGCATATTTTTTCTCTTAAGGGACTCATGGTTCCTCAGCTATTTGTTAATTTCATGATCCTTAAATAAGTGCATTTCTTACCTCAAATGGTTTCTCTCTCCCTTTCTTCCCCCTCCCTCTCTCTCTCTCTCTCCTCTCTCTCTCTCTATCTCCCTCCCTCTCCCTTCCCATGTGTGTCTGTCTCTCCCCCCTCCCTCTCTCTCGCCCCCTCTCCCTCTCCCAAACTCTCCCTCCCTCCCTCCCCTCTCTCACACACACACACACACACACACACACACACACACACATACACACACGCTAGTAAGTGCTTTGCATGATAGTTACAATATAGATGGATTGTTAGTAAGAATCATGATTATGGTTATTTAGCACAACATGTGCACATACACGCACATAGTATTCACATATCTTATACCATGTTCTTTGTATAAAACCAGTGAATTATTGTGTGATCAATATGAAAATTTTATTTTTTTTTTCAAGAAGGCCGACAGTAAGATGAAATGGTCATGATAGAATATACCTTTAGTTCTCGAATTACCTGTTTAATTATAGGGTATTTCTATATGGATTTTTAGTCCTGTTCAGAAACAAATACCCAAATAAAAACCCCAAATACTTCAGGAATATTGTTAAATAATTTATATGGAAAATAGCTCTCCATGTACTTTTCTTATATCAGGGGTGCCAAAAAAATGTACACAAGTGGACACTTTGGTCAGTGTTGCTCAAGCAGTAGTTTGCCGTAATCAGAAGTGTCTGGACGCTGATGGTAACCACTCTGAGCCCCTCTTGTAATTGTAGAAGTCAAATGTGACTTATATTCATCTTTTGTTATCGGAATGTATTGAGTATTACAATTTTAATATAGTTTTCCTTTCTTAAAATGTGTATACATTTTCTTTGACACCCTCTGTATATCTGTCAAGACATTCTTACTGAAGCATGTAGAATGACATCTTTATGAGAAATGACCCAACCTCAAAGATTATAGTTTTTATTTCTGTATTTTTCTAGGTAGATCTTCTTCTATTTACTGCAGCAAAAATATTCTAACCAAAAATAGCCACTTTGTTTATATAAAAGTGTTTTGAAGCATTTGAAAGGGCTATGTCAATTAATACAAGATATTTGTTGTTAAGCTTGTTGATATATTGTTAACGATCATTTATACTTTAAGTTTACATGGGTACTCATGGGCTAAAAAATTGGAATTGTCAGTATTTTATCTTGCAGGCTATTCTTCATGAAATAGGAAAATAAGATATACCAAACCAAATTTAAAGGTTTTTGGCATTAAATCTGACTTTAAAGGAAATTTTAAAAATCACCCTTATGTCAGTAAAAATGAATAGTTTTATTCACATCTCTTTGATGCCAAAAGATAGTATTTATTCTTATTTACTCTGGAGAAAAAAAGGTTGTATGTAAATTATAAGGTATGTGCTATCAGAACTAAATTATATTTGTTAAGTGCTTTGTATGATATTTATGGTATAGATGAACTCTAATCATGGCTATGGGTATTGAGCATCTATAAGTATATTTGCTTCCTAGTACCTTTGATGGCCCAAATTATTAGAGTGTTGTGTAGAATGAAGCCAATCTGAAATGCTTTAGTTACTGGAGTAACTACACAAAAAGACCAATTGTAAAGGCTTTCCATACTTAAGCATAGTAGCCCCACTACATGACCTCAAGAATAATGTGATATCAGGATTCCAGAATTCTGATAGGTAAATGTATGTGAGTAAAATGTAAATTTTATACAATTCCACAACAGTTTTACCTTAAAAGTAAATTGATATATGTCAAGTACTACTTAGAAGAATAAGTGCTTAAATTTTTAAAATGTATTTGTCTTTCATTTAAGGGTAATTGGATGAAGAGAAATATGTTCTAATAAAAGAAATCTGCCTTTTTCTGTCTTTCAACATGAAAAATGAGACCTAATTTGTAATATCTTTAAAAGAACAGAGAATATAGTTTTTCTTGTCAGTAATCACTGGAGTGTGAAAATGCTTAACTTCTATTATAGGTTGATAATTTCACTTATAAAACATACCTGTGAAATAAGTTCAAAATTGAGTACCTATAAAAGAAAAAGCTCAGAATCATTTAAATAATTGAAGATTACGGATGGAACCATGTAACCTCTTAACCAAAACCAGTGTGTCCTTTTTTAAATTTGTTTCTCAATTACAGTTGACATACAACATTATATTAGTTTCAGGTGTAAACCCAGTGATTACACATTTATATACCTTACGAAGTGATCACCCTGATTGACATATGAAGAGCCGTGATCCATGGCAGATAAGCAAATGCCAAAGGGGAAAAAAAACTGGCTTAGCTGCCTAGGCCTTGCCATTCCTATTCAACTTCTCAACCTCCATCTAGTTAAATTTCAGTTAACTGATCTTACGAGGACTGAAGCAAGTAACAACAAAAATATATACCGCACTGTTTCAGGGGATGTGGTTTGCTAAATGTTTTGTCTTTTCCTTTTCTTTATGTTGTCCAGTCACCAGGTCATTTGTAGGAATCTCCATATTCCATAGGAGGAAAGTTGCCAGTGTGAAAGTTCAGTGTCTTTAGCCATTTTATTGCTTATCACATTTTTGCCCTCTAGGTGCCAACCTGGATTCACTGGAGCAAGATGTACTGAGAATGTGCCCATGAAAGTCCAAAACCAAGAAAGTATGTTAAAATAATCTGAAGTTTGCTTTCTCCCACAAATTACAGCAACAGTCACTACCACTTGGTGTTTTTACAGTTCAGTTGTAACTGATTCCTTTTGTTCAAATTATGGTTTAACCACTTGGGGCAGAATCTATTCAGTATGACCTTGTTTAACTGTCTCTCAACATGGGCCACAAAGGTCATAAGTTTAAAAGAAGGACCCATCAGGATGGCCAGCGGTGCTTGCAACCATGGCAAGGCAGGCCAACCAAAAGGAACATTTCCTTCCAATGTTTTGACCAAAGCTATCAAATGGAAAACTGAAATGAAGAAAACATCAAATTTCATTTTACGGAGCCTTCTTTGAAAGAAAGCGGTCACTTGAAATGCTGGGGTCTTTCTGTCCTATAAACCCAATGGCTACATTTTGTCCAGCATTTTAACACTTTTGGGGTACAGGCCAGAGTCTGAAAGCCATGATTAGGACAAAGACTCAGTTCCTGAGGGTGAACTCACCAAGTTCAGTCCAATGACACTGAGGAGCTTCTTTCTAGCATATGTTCACCTCTTCTCTGTTTCTCTGTTTTTTCTACCATTGTTTTTTTGTTTCTTCTCTCAGGTGCCCAAATGAGTTTACTGGTGATCGCTGCCAAAACTACGTAATGGCCAGCTTCTACAGTACGTCCACTCCCTTTCTGTCTCTGCCTGAATAGGAGCATGCTCAGTCGGTGCTGCTTTCTTGTTGCTGCATCTCCCCTCAGATTCCACCTAGAGCTAGATGTGTTTTACCAGGTCTAACACTGACTGCCTCTGCCTGTCGCATGAGAACATTAACAAAAGCGATTGTATTACTTCCTCTGTTCGTGACTAGTTGGCTCTGAGAATATAATAGGAGTGTGAGGCTCCCGATGTTTCTGAAACTGATACTGAATAATGTGATACAAAATGAGAGTCAATATCAAGCAGTGCAATTATAATAAAGACATTTAAAAGTCTCACTTTTATTGATAAAATAAAAAATCACTCCACTGACAGTCCATCTTCTTTATAAAATGACAACATCCTGAAAAAGATGTGGCTAAGCTGTAACCAATATGGTCTTGAAATGATGGTAAGTTAATTTGGGTTCAGAATGTATTTATAATGAATAAACATAATAAAAGGAGTTCAGATGTTTTTTCTTCATCCATCAGCAGTTTGCATGTAGGTATAAAAAACCACTGAGTAGGAAAAATTAAAAACAAACATTTCACAACAAATGAGGTAGACTGGCTTCTATTTATGTTGCTTAGGAAACAAGTGAGTCAGAACTAATTTAAACAATCATTTATTTATGTTAGCATTTCTTTATGCTAGTTTCAGTAATAATTTTCGCAGAAAATAGTTGTTATAAAATATTCACTATTTACTTTGAAATATAACAGTTCACCTCTAGATATATGTTTTTAAATGCAGAATTGGGAACTGTTGATGGATTTTTATGGCTGCATGAAGTTGTGAACATCATTCCTAAAATCCCAATTCACACTGCATATAAATGCATAGATAACTAAACTATGAATGTGTCCTACTGTTGTGAATTGGGACTATAGTTTTTAATTCTGGAGCTTTCAAAACATTGTATTTAAAATGGATTCCATATAACTATCCATTTAGATCAAAGGTTGATATATATATATAAATTTTTTTTCTTTAAATGATCAGACAGTAAACACTTCAGGGTTTGCAGGTGATAGCTTCACTGTCACAACTACTCAACCCTTCCATTAGAGCACAAAAGCAGCCACAGATAATACATAAACTAATGAGCTTGTCTGTGTGCTATTAAAACTTTATTTACAAAAGCAGGCAGTGGACTGGATTTGTCAACCTCTGATTTAGATTGTCAGTTGCTCACCCTGAAAACTATTTCACATGGCTTATTGCAGTGTAAATGTATGTAACACAAGAAACAGTGATATGAGCTAGTCATTTGGGAACCCTAACAGAATCAGATATTTACCCTTTTTCATATGCATGCAAAGAATAAGATTCTGTTCCTCGTGTTAATAGTCATAGAAGAATAAATCCCATGGAAAAATAAATTCAGTATGCATTATGGGGAGATCAGACCCATAATATTCAATCATTTATTTAGTGAAGTGGTATTTATATTTACATAGGTATTTATATTTACAAAGACCGTGTTTCCCCGAAAATCAGACCAGATCTTACATTAATATTTGCTCAAAAAAAACGTATTTTATTCATTTATTCATATACAAAAATCTACATTTATTCAAATACAGTCATGTCTGGCTGACGATCTTAACTGGGGCTTATTTTGGGGTAGCACTTATATTACGAGCACCCTGAAAGTCTTGCTAGGGCTTATTTTCCAGTTAGGTCTTATTTTGGGGAAAACACGGGATTATTATATTGGCCATTTTCTGTTGTGGAAATTGGTGAATTGACATAACTAAATTTTCAAACGCAGCCTTCACTTTATTCACAAATCTTTAAATAATATGCATTTAGTGAACAGAATTTTTCTCTCCATAGCTATAGATTAAGGTGGGTTTTTTTTTAAATGTAGATAAATGAAAAGTAAAAATAGAAGGGAAATAATAGAATTTTACATAATATATTAAAGACATTGCTTGTAGAAATGTGTTTGTATTCAAATAATATAGATTTATCAAATCCATGTACCTGTATAAATACAATGAAATTATATTGTATAATTTAATGAAGATTCTGGACATTTGCTTTATACTTAAATTTTAGGTGTCATATAGTTTCGTTGTACACTGAATGAAATGTTTGGGGTACTATATAAAGAAAAGCATTAAAAATGAAGATATTTCTCAAGGTAATAATGCAGTTGTAACTAGAGAAAATGTTCTCAACTTTTCTTTTAGAACATTTTGTTTCATATTATTTAAAAAGAGCCACTATGTATTTAATCAGAGTGTGATCCTTAAATAAATTCTTTAGTAAGCTTTCAGTGGCACTTATGGAAGACATCAGGAAAGCAGCATTCATATTTAATCTGATTTAACAAAGATTGATAGGAAGCACATTTATGAACAAAAATCTGTAATGACTGCATCTGTGCTGCCTCATGCCTGGAAAAACAAGGACTTACAATCAGAAACTGCGTTCCAAAGTTGTCTTGCCCAGAGTTAATTTTCTAACCTCTGTGTTTTAAACTGTCAATGTTCATTTCGGCGAACTCCCCCCACAGAAGGCAGGAAAATAAATGTTTACTGCTCTAAGAACTTTATGTTCAAGTGGCAGTGAGGGCTGCACAAAGAATAAAAACTGTTGCCACAGTGGTAATGTTTAAAATTTAATTGCCTGTCTTCATAAAGTTTGAAACACATAACATAAATTAAAAAAATATATATATTCCCCAACTTTAAAGAGACACATTTTTCAACTTACCAAACCACATTTTCAGTTGGAAAATAACATTCTAAAAGAAGGTATAATTTTACAATGCTTATTAACACATAAATTGCATTATTAGGATTTGATGCAACTTTTCTGGTCAGAGTGTCCTTTTGGACATGTATTGATTTATAAAAATTATTTAAAATATGAAAGAAAGGAACAAATGTGTATTTTATATGCTTTCTTGAAGGCAGCGATGTGCCTTGAAATAAAACATATTTATAGTACTTTCTAGGACAATAATTGTCAAGGCTAGTCAGCTTCAAATTTGACCTCTTGACACAGAATTCCTATTTGAAATGATTGTGTTCATCTGTGTGTGTATGTGTGTGTGTGTGTGTGTGTGNGTGTGTGTGTGTGTGTGTGTGTGTGTGTGTGTGTGTGTGTGTGTGTACAGGGAATCCACAATCAATTTATAGGCTTTATGAAGAGAGAAAGAAAAAACACTCACAGCTTCAATAGTTAGAGGAAGTAGGGGCAAGACATATGTTATATATAAAATAACATATAATAGGATGTAATTATAGAATAGCCCAAATTATAGAATATTTTAAAAGAGTAGTTTTTAGAAGTTTTAGGCATATTCTCAGAATGGGTAACCTTAGCAGATATCCTTAAAAGTAGTTTTGAATTATGGGTTACGAGTGCATAAATTATTTGTGTTGATTTTTAAATGCTTTAAAAACCTGTTAAAGTTATTAATTTATTTATCAAACATGTGTATCTTGCTGACAGTAGAATAAAGGCACACTCAATCTATGATAAAATTATAAATTCCAACTGAGTGCTAGTGAGACTTTACTGTGTATGTTTGTGGGTGTGCTTTTGTGTCCATGGCGACTTGGGAGTAAGGAGAGAGTCTCCTATTACATTTCGGAGGGCCCAATGGCAATGTGGATTGGTATATGTGGGGCAAAAAAAGTATCTACAGTTGTAAAGGTAAGTTGAAATTAAAAGTCAGACCCTAAATTGGTCCTGTTTAGAATTGGCATTGACAGAACAACTTTAGAAATCTCAGAGGTGCAGAAAGTAAAGACTACACATAAGTCTTTGAGATTATTTCCATAAGGAAGCCCAAGATGTTAGAGTAAAATCCTGAATGTCTTCAAATTTTAACAAAAACCATAAGTGCATGTATGTATAATTTTGGTAAAAGAAAGTTGTTTCGTTGTTCTTTTCTCTAGTGGAATTGAAAATTTAAATTAACCTACAGGTTAATCAGTTTTCTTCAAACAATTATAAATCCCTAAACAAAGGATTTACTGAGTCAATATTTAATAGTTTCTGAAGACTCTTATATTTAGATTAATTTTTTATATTGCTTACTGCACGGCAGGAAATCACATGTAGAAAAGGAAACTAAATTGTTTACAGTAACCTTTGTGTTTTTGAATTATTAATTTAATTTGAAAAATGCAGTGGCTAGGCAGAAGTTCAATAGGAAGCGTATGCTACATAATGAGCCTAAGCCAACATTAGATTAAATAGAACAGATAGAAAGTAATAACCTCTTCATAAAATGAAAAGTGTTTGTGTAGTCTGCTTTTCTTGACTCACAAGGAAAGAAATGTAACCACCAATAGTAAAAATAAACTGGAGCATTATTTGCTCCAGGTCTAGAATGATGCATGTTTCCTCTGCCTGTTTCCTTGTTAGGCCTGATGGACAGAAGAGATTCCAATTTTAAGTACCAATTTCCCTTTGAATTATTTGAAATTGGAGCTGCTTGATATGAATGACTTCCCATGAAATGAAATTATAGTTAGGCTCACAGACTTACCTATAAAACTGTAAATGCAGTCATATGTATGCATGGGCATGCTACTAATTTTATTGAAGACTTAACCAAGCTTTCTATGCAACTAATATATATCATTAGCAGTGTTCATGTAGGCATGGAATAATGATTCTCTGGAAAGAGTTTCTGCAGGTATCTCTTGATTTTAACCCTTAAATTATTACTGACTGGTAGGAGGGAAAGGCGAGCGACGTGGTTTCTAGGGAGCAAAATTGAATCACATCCTCTTGGAAATGTGTAAGGGAATTTATCATTTCCTCGGAAAATGAATTTTTTATACCTTGATGTTCCAAAGTTTAGATGAAGGAAACAAATAGAAAAAAAAGATCCGTTTGTCAAATTGAATGTTGCACAGAGGCAAGAGAAATTTGTTTGGATTTGAATGAATTGTTATTTTGCTGTGAACATTGTGCAACCAAATTAACCCTACATCCTCTGGCTCTTA